TTCCTCTAAGTCTCTAGATGAGAGCAGGGGCTGACGTGTGGAGAAGCCGGTGAACGGCAGTGGGAGGAGACTTCCATACATGGAGTTAGGCACAAGTGGGACCCAGGCTACTCTACCATCCTTGGGAGGCAAGGGTGGGGATTCTGGAACTGACATCTACTGTTCGTTGGCTGTGTGACTGACCTTCACCAAATTCATTATTTAACTTCTTGGAGTTTTGATTTTCTTTGTCTGTAAGTTGAGAGTAATACCACCTCATAGCATTAGAGGATGCGTATAAGTTACTTACATATCTCATGTATATGTAACAATACCTCATGGGTATGCAATAGTACCTCATGTATATCTAATAATATCTCATGAATATGCAATAACACCTCATGGGCATGCAGTCGTGCCTCATGTATATGTAGTAAGAGCTCATGAGTATGTAACAGTATCTCATGTATATGGAACAGGACTTCATGTATATGGAACAGAACCTTGTGTATGGAACAGTACCTCATGTGTATGGAATAGCACTTCATGGATGTAAGATGCTTAGAATAGCATTCAGCACATGGCAAGGGCCCCACAAGTGGTAGTTGTTATTTTTCAGCTTCTGAAAAATATCCAAGGTTTGACAGCTAGTTAGACAAAAATACCAGGGTGATGGAATTGTTTTCTTCATGATGTGAAATGACCTGCCTTGAGGACTGGATTCATTACTTGCTTGGGTTAGCCTTCTGAGGAGGTCCCCATCCTTTCCTCAAACGAGTCACATTTCTTCCCCCGTTTGGCCTAGTGCTGAGTCAGCCCAGGCTTCCTGATAGTTTTCCAAATCTGGAGATGGAGTCTGTTTTTCTAAAGCCCCTCATGGTTGGGGTTGGGGGAGAGAATGCTGACTCTCCGCTTTACTCACAGTGGCAGATGTGGAACATCTGGAGGCAGCTGGGCCCCAGCAGGGTGGGGACAACAAGGGCTATCAGTAGGTTTTGCAGAGTGGGGTGCGGCTGTTTCACTCTTCCTCAGTAATGAGGTGTCATGTTGCTCCAGGAAGAGAGAAAGAAGTGTACCAGCTTGGGGTTCAGGGAGAGCCATTACATTACCCCATCTTGACAGATAAAAAGACAGAGGCTCAAAGAGATTAAATGACTTGTTGGAGGACATAATGCAAGTTGGGGCAGACAGTCTCCTAACACTGAGTTCAACCATACTGACAGAAAGAAGTCAAAAAAGGGAAGTAAAAAACAATAAAGACGACCCCGAGCAGACTTACTTGCTAGGGCCTGAACATCAAAAGTCGGTGACCGCCCTGCAGTGAGGAATGACAGTGGTGCTTAGGGGTGGCAGGTCATGCACATTGGTCAGTCTGGTGAAGGGTCTTGGGCAAGGTTGATGCCTGGATCTGGCAGTCTTCTTCCTAGACCCTGGAAGGAAGTGCTGGTATCCAGGGGTGCATTAGTCTAGGCCTATGAGAAATTCCCTAGTGGGTATTTCTAACCCAAAAGGCACCAGAGAGCACTGAATTAAGGGTGCCCTTGACCTCATGTGTTCAGTCTGTCCTTGCCAGACATGAGCCCGGCTTCTGGCTGAGCGGTGCCCTCCCTGTGGGAGCACACTGACCACCAGGGGGCAGCTCCTGCATTGAGCGTGTGCCCCCTGGTGGCCAGTGAGCATCATAGCGACCTGTCATTCTGCCATTGGGCTGAAACTGGCTCTCCAACATCCCCCTACGAGTTCCGGATTGCAAGAGGGCGCAGGCTAGGCTGAGGGACCCCACTGGTGCACGATTGGGGCTGGGGAGGGACCGCAGGAGGGCTCCAGGGTGTGTCCAGCCCGTCTTGCTCAGTCCTGATTGGCTGGACCCCAGCAGCAAGCTTACCTACCAGTTGGAGCATCTGCCCCCTGGTGGTTAGTGCACATCATAGGGAGCAGTTGAGCAGCCTTAGCATATCATTAGCATACTACGCTTTGATTGGTTAAACAGACTACTGGACACTTAGCATATTAGGCTTTTATTATATAGGATTGTGTCACATTCATGCTACTATTAATTCTCTGTCTCTCTCTTATACATGCACACACACAATTATGTCATATTCATACTACTAATTCTCCTTTCTCTCTCTCTCACACACACCCACACACATGCGTGCACACACATGCACACATAATGCAACACCTCTACCCAATGGGAGCTGCATTTTAATAGAGACCCTTCACAGCAGTGGGAAGTCTGAAGAGATCCATTTCTATGGGTGACTCCAGATCCCAGCAGAGTCATGCTGGGAGGCCAGGGAACCCTGTGGTTTCTCTCCTCACATGATCAGGCTGCTCCTTCTGTGTGTGGGGGTGATGGGCACAAAGGTACTCTGGCCAGACCCTTGGCTGCCTTGTGCAGAGGGATACAGTATGGGGGTATTTTCACAGCCAGGGCCCCCACCCTTTTTTGTTGCCTGTCCTGCTGCTTTGCCCACAGCGGGTGGCCAGGGACCTGTTGGGAACATGAAGCTTTCTGTTTTCCCACATCTTTGACGTAAGACCTGACTTACGAAGTAGTCTGGGTGGGCAGGAGCAACAGAACCCTGTAGGGAAGTCCAGTCAGACCCTGACTTAGCAGGATTTATCCTTGGCTCCCTGTCTCACCTTCCTCCTCCCCCCATCCGGGTGTCAGCGCTCTTCTCCAAGAGGTCTTTAAAGGCAAATGGAGTTAAATTAGTTGGTTGCTGTATTTACCTATTAAACCAATGTAAGCACAGGTTGCTGGTCATCTCTGTAAAAAGTTAAGAGGTAAGGCCCTTGGGGACGACTATTAACCCCCCCCCCCCAACAGCAGTGCTCCCTAGACAAAACTAGATTGCACTCATCTCCATCTTAACTGAAAATACAATTTTCCAGGATCAAATGACTAATACACTTGTGGGATTTGTAAATTAAATTGCATCTTAAATATACTGTTTAAATATACTCCTTGGCAAATCCTTCTGTGAAAGAATTGGAAGGATGCCTTTGACAAAGAGAATTCCCATCCTCTGGCCTGAGCTGCCAGGACTGGGTTTTTTGGTTTGTTTTTGTAGGTCAGGTTAGCGGCTAGTAAGGGCTACTGAAAAGATTTGTGTGTTTTTTAAAATCACCACATTTATTTTCCAGTTTATAAAAATAGTAGAATATTCTAAATATAGTGAAAAGTATGAAGCAGAAATGAAAATCACCTATGATTGCACAATTGAGTGATGATTGCCACATTTCTGTACGTGCGTGCACACACGTCTGTCAATGTCTCTGTGAAAACAGAACTAGGTCTTCATGTGAGAATTTGGGCAGCTGGTCTCGGCCCCTAGGCTGTGGCAGGGTATGAGGGGGTGGCTTTCCACACCCAGAAGGAGGTCAGTGTCAGACTTGTTGAGACCATAAGCACCAGTTGAAAAGGGAAGGCAGGCAGGCTGGGGGCCGGGAGGCAGGGGCCAAGCAGACCAGCCTGTGTCATCCCTGTCTGGGCATCCCCGAGGATGCGCTCCGGGTCCACAACGCTCCTGTTTGCTGGGAGGCTGCTTCCCCTAAGAGCCCTGCTGGACATGCACGGCCGCTCTTGCCTCTCCCCGCTCAGTTTTACTGCCCTCCATCCCTGCCCTCCCTGGACTGACAAGATGCCCTTGGTAGCCTTTGGCTCGCACACGTGATCTCCACTGCAGGGCATCTTAGTTTCAAAGAGGCTCAGGAAGGGTGATGCCTTCCCCCCAGGATCGACACTGCTACGGTGGGATGAGTGGGGTTGGGGTATTAGAGGACACAGAGCCTCCCAGTGCATTTTAAGCTGTGCCATGGGGGCGACCTTCCAGGGCCAGAACTAGTGGTAGGAGCCTGGCAGGGCCCAGAGCCTGCCTGCCCTGCCCTCGGAGAAGCCACAGGTGGCTGCTCTCTTCCGTGATGAGAGCCACTCTGAGGAGCGCTTCGGTCCTGGCTGGAAGGAGAGGGGGTGTCCCTCTGAGCAGCATGTGCACAGTGAGGCACTGGCTTCTCCCCTGCTCTCGGGGTTAGAACCCGGGCTCCACCACTTCAGTGCTGTGCTAACAGGAGCAGGTCACTTACACTTTCTATTCCTCAGTTTGCACCACCTGCAAAATGCAGTGAATAGCAGTGCCCTTCAAGTAGGGTCATCGTGGAGATGCAGTGAGTTACCACATGTAACACATGTAACATGCTTTGCTAGAGTAAGTCTTTGATAAGCGCTAGCTATTGCCATCCGTGTTTTACTCGGCGCAGCTGCCTTAACAAGGGACCATGACTGGGTGGCTTAAACAGCAGCGATCTCTCTCTCCCAGTTGTGGAGGCTGGAAGTCCGAGAACAAGATGCCAGCATGATTGGGCTCCTGCCTTGTAGGCGGCTACCATAGAAACTGTCTGCTTTCCTAGTGTTACACTCCCCTCTCCTCTGACCCTTGGGAAAAGGCTCTTCATGTCCCAGCCTAGGTAAGAGGCAAGAGGCAAAACAGTCAGATTTATTAGGCAGCTACTTCTCTGAGCCAGGTGGCTGGGTGCAGAGGGAGGTCACACCACTGACTCCACAGGGCTCCATGGGTGGGCACTGTCACCCCCATGTACAGAGGGCCATGCCCACGGAGGGCCTGGGCAAGGGAACACTGGCTGTCTGCGGTCACACTGCTCAGAAGTTGCAGTAACATTTGAACCCTGAGCCTTCTGACCCCACACCCTTACCACACCTAGCTGCTGTGGGAGGAGTGGATCAGCCACGCCTGGAGCCACTGGGGATTGGGACGGATACTCAGGGTGCAGCTGGTGTGGGAACCTGCACAGTTTGGGCCTTCCCATCCCATGTGGTCTCGCTGGAGCTGAGCACTGAGGGTCCTCAGACCCCCGAATCCCTCCACCAGTGACAGCGGCCCCCCATGTCTCCTCCCACTTTCAGGCACCCGAGGATGGAGCAGCTGTCCCATAGGAGGCCACTTTCTAGCTGTGCTAACCCAGACTGTTCTCTTTCTGCTCTTTTCCTTCCCCAGCGCCTAAAGACAATGAAGAGCGCGTGTTCAGGGAGCGCATGCGGCCCAGGAAGCGGCAAGGGGCCGTCAGGCGCAGGGTCCACCAGGTCAATGGCCACAAGTTCATGGCCACCTACCTTCGGCAGCCCACCTACTGCTCCCACTGCAGGGATTTTATCTGGTAAGGCCCTCTCTCCTGGGATCTTCTAGTTATGCCTTCTCTGGGCCGACACATTGGGAGATTACAAACTGAAAAAATTGCTGGTGTGCTTTATTTCTTCTTTGTTTAATTGCAGAAGACTTTTCTAAAAAGCTAAGTGAGTGTTTGGTGCTTGGGAGAATGAATGGAAAGACATTATGGTTCCTGGTGACTTTGTACTTAGGATCATATCATGTATCACATTTAAGGAGTGAAGATTTTATAACCAACAATGTACCGCGATTGTGGTTTCTTTAAAAAGAGTCTTTATCCTTAGAGAGACAAACGGGATTATTTACAAGTAAAATGATAGGAATCTTGGATTTGTTTTAAAAACTCTGGGAGGAGGGGGGAAGGGGCTCAGGGTAGAGAAGAAACAGGAGCAGCCGTGCATTGATCACTGTTGGAGCTGGGTGATGGGCCCGTGAGGGTCCATCTCCTTACTTTTGTATATGTTTGAATTTCTCTGTAATAAAGTTAAAAAACACTCAACTGCCAATATTGCTAATACAAAGAGTTCTTAGTAACTGTTGTAACACTGGTGCTGCTAGGATCCTGAGGCTTCAGAGTGAGGGAGTAGCATTGGCTGAAGTACTCAGGGAAGGCTTCTTGGAGGAGGTGGCATTTCTCCTTTCATGATGACTAGGAGTTTGATAAGCAGAGATAGGTAAGTAGTAGGCCTGTTTGGGAGGTGGAAAGGGATCAGGAGCACTGGCCTTGGGGATTGGCGGGAGACTTAGTGACTACCTACCCCGTGCCAGATTCTCTCTCAGGCACTGGAAATATTTAATTAAATCTTCCTGGTATCCTCTGAGCTATGTATTGTGAACCCCATCCCACTAACAACAATATTGAGGCTCAGAAATCAAAGCAAGACTAGCCTGCACTCCTCCAGCTGGGAAGTGTCAGAGGCCGGATCCCACCCCTGGTGAGCACAACGGAAAGCTCATGCTTTTCCTGAAGCCCCACCGGCCTTTCTGGCAACCTCTCTGAGCCTTTGAAGCTGACTGAAGCTTGCCAGTGTGCTTGGATCCGGTGGGGAAGAGTGAATGAGGCCAAATTGCAGCAGGAACCCAGCCGGGTAGCATTTGAATTGCACTCTGGAGGACGGGGTGTCCAGGAGTGGCTCCTCTCATCCTCGTGGTGTTCCAGAACCTGTTGCTGAGGAGGGGCATGGAGATCTGAGGTGACACAGCTCAGAGAAGACTCAACCCAGCGGAGGCAGAAATAGCACCCCGCTCCCACCCACAGACAGCCTCCTTCCCAGGGCTGCCTGGGCCCTCCAAGCTCTGTTCTCTGTATCGTGTTTATGAATTGCATGTTTGGAGGGACGGAGGCTCTGAAAGCTGTGTCGTACAGATTCCGGTCTCCTCTGAGCCCATGGCCAGCACACTGAGCTCCAGGTTTCCTGAGGTGTAGCCTGAATGCCTTCTGGCTCCCTCTGCCAGGCCAGGAGTTCCAGGGGGCTCCCTGACCAGTGGTTGTGGGTGCCCTGAGGTCAGGGCTCAGGCCAAGTTGATTGGCTGGTGTCCATGCTGACCCTAAACTGGCCCCAGGAGAGACTCTTCTGGCCATGAAAGGAACTTCTAATGTTGGCCTTCACCCAAATGGTACACTGAACTCCCAGTCCTGGCCACAGACTCACCTGTAATCCCTGCCGGCTTCTGGAACACCAGGGAAGTGCCTGCAGGATTGCCCACAAGGACGGGCTCGTGCGACTTATCGAGGCCCGCAGGGAGTACTGGAGTCTGTGGCTTCCGAGCACTGTTGGTCCCACGGGGACGGTGTTTGTGTAGGAAACCAAGTCTGTTCACTGACCAAACATTGCACCCCTCGCCAGCTCTGGGGCTGCCCTCTGTGGCCTCTGAGGGAGTCGTTTTAGGGCCGCCTGCGAGTGGGAGGGAGATTGCACGGCTAGGTACACCAAGTGTGCATGGTGCTTTGTGGGTGGTGGCCAGCAGGCGGTGGCTTGGTGTACTTGGTGATGTTACTTACAGGGTTGTGTTCTTCTTTCCAGGGGTGTCATAGGAAAGCAGGGATACCAATGTCAAGGTAAGAGGTGATGTATGAACTAAATCCCCGGGGGCCCATGTGCCCATCCTGATCACTAATGCTACTAATGTTCGTGAGAGGTGTGTGCTTGGTTTGATGGCATTGAACTCTCCACAGTTTCCAGTCCTGCACCGTCTTGGGAAGCAGGACCCTGTTTACTTTGTCGCTGCCTGGCCATTGCTCCTCCATGCACATGTGAGAGTAGATGTATCTCTGGGGGCCCCAGGGGTCGAGCCGGTCTGCAAGTAGCACTCCCATCTTTCCTAGGGAGACACTGCGTCAGTTAGCGGCCCCTCGAAGGTCCCCCCTGGGCACCACACCAGGTTCTCTGTATCCCATCAGCTCCCTTACTCTCTCATCCCCTGGGGACGCTCCCTCCCCTGCCTGTTTTATGCAGCATCCCCGATGGTCCTGGCTGATTCTCTTTTTTGCCTCTGCTGTGGAATTGTTAGCTCTTACACACTGAAAACGCACTCAAAGTTATTGAAGTTTCTGTTTGCAGTTAATTGACTACAAATGCAAGGTTAAGTGGTCCAGAATTGAAGGGTGGGCACGTGATGTGGTCATGTGGAGGGTTCTCTGTGGTTTGGTCTGGGAGGCCATTCCATCTCCCGACCGAGCCACTGGTTGGCTTGGGTCTCATGCCTGGGGACTTAGGCAGGTCCTTTTGGGCATCGCTGTGTATGCAGTTACTGGCTTCTTCAGCCCCTCACTGCCCACATGCCCCGTGGCACTGAAGACAGAGCTACAGACCACTTCTGTGGAAGTAGTCAGTTGAATGGAAATGTTTATGCTTGGCATGTAAAGACACAACCAGATCAGAAGCTTAAGAACTTCTGTACCACAAAACACGCATTCTCCCACTGCGTTCCTCCTAACACACCAGCCAGCCCTGATGCAGTCCTGAGATGAGCAAGACGCTGTCCTGCCTCTGATAGACGGACTGCGTGGAAGGGAAACGGTTCCCTGGCCTGGGCACAGAGAAGCAAGAAACCTGACGGGTCCTCCTGGAACTGGAGAAAACCTCTGAAGCCCTTTGTATATAAATGGTCCATTCTTCCCCAGGGCATGTGGGAAACTGGGATGGCTGGGATGGCGGAGGGCTTTGAAACCACTGCTCAAAGGACTTCGGGTAGGGTGTTACGCTAAGACCCGGTCACGGAAGGGGCATGGCTCCCCTCATCCCTTCGCCAAAGCCCGATTAAATCATGGGGTGGAACCTTCCTTCCCCCACTTGTCGCTCAGCCTCCCCATGTCTCGCTGTTTGCAGTGTGCACTTGCGTGGTCCACAAGCGATGCCATGAGCTCATCATCACGAAGTGTGCTGGATTAAAGAAACAGGAAACTCCCGACGAGGTAAATATTTGCAGCGTTGAAGTCCCGGGCTTTCTTCGCTGCCATCTCTGCCCTCTACCACCTCCTCCGCGGTCCCCAAGTAAAGCCTTATCTCTCCGAGATCCCATTGCTTTCTTCCTTGTGTTGATCAAAAAGGAGGGGAGTTGTCCACCGCCTTCCGGCATGAGGCACAGCCTGCAGAATGCACGTGGACCAGAGTCGGATTTACGTCTGTGGAGACTGTGCCAAGAGCTGTGTGATCCCAGAGCTAAAGCCCATGAGGAAAACATGTATTCTTTTATGCCATTATCTCATGGGAACAGTGAAGTGGCTAACTGACGTGCCAGTGGCCCCACACGCTCATAAACAGTGAGGGAGAGAGTCAACATAGGGGCAGGAGCTTATCTTTATGAGGTGATGGGGGAATGGAGTGGGATTAGCAAACCCCAGAAACATGCAGGAGGCGGAAGCAGCCTCAGTAACAACAATAGCCGACATTCGCTGGGAACTGACCGTGCCCTGATGTAAGCACTTGATCATCTATCATCTGGCCCCATAACAGCCTCAGTGTGATGGTTGTTATCATGTTCATTTACAACAAAGAGAATAGAAGCCAAGAGGTCAAGTTAACTTGCCTCAAGGCACACAGCTGGTGTAGGAAGGAGCCACGGTCAGACCCAGGAGTCTGCTCCAGAGCCTGAGCCCTTGACCACTGCACTATGTTGTCTCTTCATCTTACAGGCGAGTGTCAGATTGACTATTAGGGAAGTTGCTGATGGTAAAGAAGCAAGAGAATTCAATAGCAAAGCTGGGTTTCTCCTAACTGACCGTTTGGGAGAAGACTGAATGTCAGTATACTAGAGGGGTTATCTATACTCACGGTAGTTGATTTCAAAGCCGTGTTTTAATTCTCTGTGAAATAAATACTGCATCATCACAGGCCATTAGAATTGGGGGTCAGAAACAGCTTATAATCAGATGGATCTGTGATCTGATTTCCAAAAGGAGTGACTCTCAGAGTCACACAGAGCGGCAGCAAACGGGCTGAAGGCATCAGGAGCAAAGGCCCTGGGGCAGGAGAGAGGCTTTCTTCACCTCCTTTCTCAGGGCAGCTTTCAGAGCCACACTAGGGCCTGCCACCTGAAATGACCATGCCTTCTGGAAAGTTCTGTAGAAGGTCCAGTGATTAGCTCTCCAGGCTGCACAGGAGCTTGGCCGTGACCCTGTGTTTTGCCGTCCCTGCAGGTGGGCTCCCAGCGGTTCAGCGTCAACATGCCCCACAAGTTCAGTATCCACAACTACAAGGTCCCCACCTTCTGCGACCACTGTGGGTCCCTGCTCTGGGGCCTATTGCGGCAGGGGCTGCAGTGTAAAGGTAAGGAGCTCCGTGCCTGCCCTCGACCCCCTGCCCCCGCGGGCCCCTGTTGTCTCTTCTTTTTAAAAATCTTTGTTTGTTCTCATAGCCTCAAAAGCCAGTTCTAGGTTTGGTGGGAGGTCTGGGCACAAGCTCTTGTCAAGCCCCGTTAACTACTGTGCCATTTTGTTAAGCAGTCGCTGTGCGGACACCACACTGGCCAAGGGAACTCCACCTCCACCCGGGACCGTGGGGAGGAAAGCGCACCCTCACCTCTTAGGATAGTTAACAAGCTGGGGAGACAAGATGAGCCTGTAGAAGCATAGAAGTAATTTAAGGAAAAGATACATTGGAGCAGAAGGGAACAAATATTTTTGGAGTTAGGCACTGAGATGATTGATAGATATTTTCCTGTCACAATCCGTGGTTCAGAGCCCACTCTTAGAAGGAGCCGTGCTAGAAGCTGTCACGTAAGACACTGTATTCATCCTTCATCAGCTCGTGATGGGGGTGCCGTTTCCCATGTCCCTGGGGAGGGAGCTGCAGCTCAGAGACTAAGTAACTAGTTCTTGTTACACAGCTTGGTAGCTCAAGTGGGGTTTGAGCTTTGACTCTTGAACTTTCCTCTATTTCCTGCTGACCTGCTCGTGAGTTATCTTCTGCACAGATGGGCATGCTAAGTGACACGGGTAATAGCACAGAATATGGGACCATGAGAACCATCTGGGGGCCCAAGTAGAGTGTCCAATTCCATAAGCTGGTCCAGTCCACTCACAGAGTTGGACAGCCATGAACTATGAGGCAGGAATATTGCATGGCTGTTCTTTAAAGGCAATGTTGTATTGAATACATGATTAATAAATCCCCATTGTGGAAAAATGAGAAAAAGAGTAACGTATAAAGAAGGAAAACTGAGGCATGACCAAATTGGTCATTAAAGGGATCTCAATGGGAAATTGTCAGGATTGGAAATGAGGCAATCAATGTCTTCAGTGAAGAATAGAGACGAGGCGAATAACTTAAGTGACACCGAGGAGTAATTTATTGGGTGTGGTGACCCGGCCCAGCTGGGAGGACAGCGACATCATTGCTGAGAGAGGGAGTACAGGAGAGGCAACAGAGCTGGAGGCCAGTATGTGGAGTTGAGCTAGGAACATGCTACCTCAATGTGCCTGTGGGAAATTTACATGGAGCTGTCCAACTTCTGGGCATTCTCATTTAAATCCGGGGGAGAAGTTTAGACCAAGCATTTCGATATCTAAGTAGTCGTTAAAGCGATAGAGTAGATGCCACCCCCAGGAGAAGTGCTTTGAGTGTGAAGAGAGAGGCTAGCACCTTGGGGTTTGGAGAAAGAAGGATGAGCCAGCAAAAGCCACAGGGGGAAGGACCTCAGAGGCAGGAGGAAAGGTATGGAGAAATGGCCTTGTGGAAGCCAAAAAAGTAGAGAGCATTGAACAATTAAGAAGGAAGCAACTGGTGGTGCCAAGAGGTTATTTAAGGCAGGGAGTGCAATGTGGGGTTGTATTGAACAACGAAGAGGTCATAGTGACTTCAGCAGGAGCTGTCTCAGTGGGATGGTGAAGATGGAGCCCAAATGCAGAGGTGAATAGAGGATGGAGGGTGTAGCGTTTTCAGAATGTCTTGTATAATTAGGGAAAAGACGGTGGGACAGGAGAGATTAATGAGCCAGGAGGGAGAGGGGACCATTGCTATATCAGGGGCAGAGGAGGGGTGGGCCTCCTCCCAGATGGGGGGAATGCCTCAGGGGGCGGCCTGGGTACAGATAGGCTTGCTGTGTCTGGGATAGGAGTCCAAGAGGAGTGAGGGGGCAAAATGCTCATCGATGCCCTGAATCTGTTGAGGGCGTTGCGATGAGCGTTCCCTTATTTTCTGAAGTAGATCCTTTTTGAAATCGAGGTGAGAAGTAGGGGTGTGGAAGGCATGAGGAGGGTGGCGAAGGCTGGAGATGGCCGTGGTGGAGACTGAGGAGGACTGGACCCAGGACAGGAGGAATTGCTGACTGTTGCCCATTTGGTGACCTGTGTGAGATTCCCAGACATTCCTGGCTCCCTTTCTAGGATTCTAGCACCCAGCCCTGAGAGAAACAGAGCCTGCTGGCATCCTTCTAACATTCAATGGCATTATGACAAAGGAAGAATAAGAAGAGAATGGACAGTAATCTTGAATATTTTTAGCAGAGGAGTGCTGAATTTTTGGAGAGTTGAATAGAGTTGCTGGGAAGCACCGAGCCTGCTTTGAATGGGACTCCGATGAGGCCATGTCTGGGTTTTAGTAAATACATTAATTATTGATCTATCTAGGGAATTCAGATGGAGATCCAATCATCTCATAAATACTGATATTTTAAGAAAGCAACCCAGACACCCGGACGTCGTTGCTAGGCTGTGGGTCCCTGGATGACCATGTAAGAGGACATGGCCCAGAGATGGTGCATTCAGCTCTGTTGGCAGGAAATACTCTCAAGCAAAGAGTGGGAGAATGAAGCTGCCTAGAGCAAGGGTACCTGTTTCCCGGAGCCCAGAAGACTGTGAGGGAGTCAGACCACAGGGAGACTAGAAGGCAAAGGCTGTTCAGAATGTAGGGCCTCCAGCAAAAGTTCACAGATCTTCCCTCTCCTATTCTTCTGTTATCCTGACTAGGCCATTTCCCCTTGCTCCTTTCCTATTCCTGTGACCCTCCCCTCCCCTCCCCTCCCCTCCCCTCCCCTCCCCTCCCCTCCCCTCCCCTCCCCTCCCCTCCCCTCCCCTCCCCTCTTCTCCTCTCCCCTCTCAATAGACTTTATTTTTAGACCGGTTCTAGCTTTGAAGCAGAAGGTACAGAGATTTTGCATATACTCCCTGCCTCCACATACACTGGTCTCCCCACCATCAACATCCCCATCTGAGTGGTACATTTATGACAATTGCTGAACCTACATTGATACATCATGACCATGCAGTGTCCACAGTTTGCATTGGAGATCAATGGATGGGCAGTCAGCTTTGGCAAATGTATAATGATGTGTATCCACCCTTCTAGTAGCTCACACAGAGGAGTTTCACTGTCCCCACATCCCTTGTTTTCTTCTCTCTTTTGATCCTTTTTCAACCTCAAGTCTTTCTGCCCCTGCAGACCCCTTACCTATGGAGAGGCTTATGACCAGAAGAGGCCAGCATGGGCCCCTCTTGCCTGGGTCTAAGAGAAATAAATAAAGACTTGGTGACCGCCATCATGCATGGCAGGTCGCCAGAGATTCAGCCAGCATTTTCATCTGAGCAATGCTGGGTAGCAGGCAGCTGGCCAGTCATAGTCTCTGGAAATCTTTGAATGGCATTTCCAGTGTGATCAGGGCTCCCTATTCCCTATCTGGTGACAACTGGAGCCCATGTGACCTGGTGGAGCTACGCCTCTACCCTCCCTTTCTCGTCTTCTGCCCAGGACTCTGCAGTCCGTCACTGCCAACTTCCCTTGCACAATTAGACAATTTCCTGGTAATAATTGTTTATTCTCTATCTCCAAGAATGGCATGGCTGACTATAACCTGTTGTGAAATCAAACCATTGCCGTGGCCCACCCCAAAGGGCCAAATCACCCCAACACAAAGACACTTCTGCGGGCACCATAGGCCTGCCCGTCTCCTCAGGCGTGGCTGTCATTGTTCTCAGAACCTTGTCTGCTTGCTTTGGAAGAAGTCCCAGCAGGCTGACCCACCTCGTTGCAATCCTAGCTTTAATCTCAGCTATGAAAAGGGTGGAAACATGGAAACCAAAATGAATGAAGGCCAGGATGACCCTGCTGCTGCTGAAGCACCACCCAGCGCATAGTAGGAGCTCAACGAATATGTGTTGAAAAATTGGGTAGTGGTAGAATAATGATTTCACTTTCAAAAGAGTCCCAGGAAGGCTGCTATGTTTCTTCCCAGCTCAGTCATCATGCAAAACCAGCTGAAAATGAACACCAAGAGGCAGCCTGGAAAGAGAAGCCTTACGGGCAGCCTAGGCCGATGAGTGGCAGCCCAGCAATAGTGATGGGGGGGGGGGGCGGGGGCGGGCATTGGGGTGCTTTGTTCAGCCCACATTACAGGTTTCTTTTGGTTCCAAGTGGCACGTCCACTTTTTCTTACTGGTCTGCAGCCTCCAGCATCACTCTTCTGTCTCCAGGAGCCCCATGTGGCTGCCCAAATCATCTCAAGTTCCCCAGCCTCAGCCAGCTTTGCCCTCTTGTTTCCAGACTTTTTTAAAAAGCACTTTCAAAGTCGGTCTCATGTCATCCATTTTAACTGACATGTCATTGGCATTTTTTTAACCTATTAAGACAACCACACAGCTTGCCCAGAAAATAACAGTTTTTAAAAATAAAAAAGAAGTCTTCAAAGACAATTTCTATTTTGCTGACCTGCCAACCCAGGCTAATTGTTTTGTTAGGACAGACAAGTCTAGATTTTCAACACCAGAGGGTGCCAGTGGTTAAATTATGCACACAAGCTGCCCTTAGCAATGATCTCAATGCCCATCCTTTCTGTTGCCCAATAAAAAGAAATAATGGGATGTTGGGGGGTTAGGGGGCAGGTGCAGGTAAAGTGGACTGAGTATCAAGTGTAGCTGCTGCTAAGGGGAGTAGGACAGAGCAATTAGAACAGGGTGCTGTTTGTTGCCTGGGGTACATGCCGGATCTGGATTTTCAGACATCAATTAATGGAGTCAGCACCACGGCCAGGCTGTGTGGATTTCTCGTTTGCCTGTATTTTCTGAGAAAGCCCCCTCCCACCATCCCCCTCATCCCCACTCCTCTGCCTGTGCTCTGTGGGCATCTTCAGCTCCGCAGCTCCGTGGGACTCTTGAAGCCTGGGTTGGGTGCTGGGAGGCCGTATCTGAGCAGTCCCTCCCTCGAAGCCAGTGACCAAGCTATGCAAGGCCAGCAGGAGGTCTGGCCATCCTGCCTGATTTCATTCCAGAAAGAGGGGTGTGTGTGTGTGTGTGTGTGTGTGTGTGTGTGTGTGTGTGTGAGAGAGAGAGAGAGAG